GTCAGGGCAATTGAAACTTTAATATATGTCCAACAAGTTTCATGGATATAAGTTAGTGATCATAAACACAAATTTCATCTTTTCTAACGTTTCCAAATATGGCATTTTTTCAACTAAATTAAAAAGAAAAATAAGACACAAAAAACTAAAATAAATGAACCACAACGACAATAATAGCAAAAATTACTCAGTCTCAATTTGAAACAAGTCAAAGTTGACTATATAAATCCTCACTATTCATACAAAATAATTTGACAACTTGCATTCTTCTCAGTATCATATACAAGAAAAGTAAAGGCCAAAAATATTAAAATAATGTCCAAACATATCCACAAGGCAAGTATTATTTTATTACTATATAAGAAGAGTGAATAAATTCACTCCTCTTTCGACACGTGGCACCAAAAAAAAAGAGAGGGTTGAACATAAGTGTGAATGTGAGGGTATTTTGGGTATTTAAAAATACCCTCACATTCACACTTATCTACTAAAAAAAAATTACTATATAATATATATTATCCTGAAGGGGACAAGTCAAGAGTGTTACTGTTGAATCAGTGTAGATTAAGCACTCTCACAATTCTCTTCTTCTTTAGTTACATTGTAACTATCTTGTTAGCTTTCAACCAAAAGGAGTACTTCTTTTAAATAATAAATATGTCATTGTATGAGCTATTTATTACTCATTCCTTTTGAATTTGTTAATTTGATTTTGATTTGACACATAGTTTACGAAAGTAAATTAGATTTTGAGAAAAAACATTAAGTGATACTTGAAGTTGTCCCAGATTTTCAAAAAGACACCTTAACTTTATGCGCGTCCTATTACCCCACAAAACATTTAAAATCACAATAAATACACATCTTTTACACAATATTTCCACTTTGGACAAAAATATCCTTCGAATGTGCAATTTCTTAAAAATAAAAAGTCGGACCCACTATTGATGTATTGAAGGATGCTTTGGTAATTTCCTATGATGAATTCGTTTTGTTTGTTTCTTTTAAATTTATTTTACTATACTAAATAATTGTATAAAATATTATGAATCACGATAATTAATTACTTAAATATTTAAAAGATATAAAAATATATAAAAAATCTGATTGACTCTTCAAATTTTACCGATGACACATAAATTGAGACAAATGAAATAATATATATTATTTGAAAATTTCTTAGAAAGTACTATAAATTACAGTAATTAACAGCTAGAAATATTTCAAAGACAAAAAAAATTGATTGAATCTCAAAAAAAATTTAGTACTACATAAATTGAGAAAGAAGAAATGACCTCTATTATTTGAAAATGGCGTAAACATATTACAAATCATACAATAAGAATTAAAAATTTAAAATTTTAAAAGAATTTAATGCTTTAATTTCCACTTTGGACAAAAATATCTTCCCAATATGCAATTTTTTTTAAACAAAAAGTAGGACCCATTATTGATGTATTGAAGGATGCTTTGGTAATTTTCCTATGATGAATTTGTTTTGTTTGTTGTTTAATTTTTTTTAAATAATTGTATAAAATATTATAAATCACAATAATTATTTACTTAAATATTCAAAAGATATAAAAATATGTAAAAGATCTGATTAACTCTTCAAATTTTATCGGTGACACATAAATTGGACAAATGAAATAATATATATTATTTGAAAATTACTTAGAAAGTACAATAATTTACAGTAATTAACAATATAATATTTTAAAGACAAAAAAAATTGATTGAATCTCGAAATTTTATTAGTACCACATAAATTGAGAAAGAAGAAATAACCTTTATTATTTGAAAATTGCGTAAAAGATATTACAAATCAGATAATGATAAGGGGTAAACTATCCATTGATTTCATAAAGTGCACAAGTATTGTAGGACATTCCAAAATAGTATAATAGACAATAATTATTGGACGGATAGAGTAGGATTAAGTCTTTCTTTCAGTACTTTTCTCACATTAATTAATTTCTCTCAGCATTCAATTAGTGAATCTTTAGTAGAATTAATTAGAATACTTTTTACTTAATACAATAAAAGTTCAAATAAGATTAACAAAAATAAAAATAAAAAAAATCCTAAAAATCTATCAATATATTAAACAACATACAACATATATAACAAAAGTTCTAATAAGATTAACAAAAAGGAAAAAAAAAAATTCTTAAAAATCATCAACAAACTACATACAAAATAAAAAGAAAGCTATTCCAACAAAAGAATACATAAAGTTAAAATGAACTTTAAGAATTCTAGCATCTTAAGCATATTGAGGCAAACATTTTAATTTAATGTCATTTCTCTCCAAAGAAAGGCATTGAATATTTTAATTTAATGTAAAATTGAATTTTTTGGGTTTATGAATATAAAAGGTTTGAAAATTATGAATATTATTAATACTAATTAAAGGTATAATTTATGAAGATGAAGAAGTGTGAGTTATGAAAATAACTTTTAAAAATAATATCATTGAGAAAAATTCAAAAAAGGAGAAAAAAGAAAAATGACAATGAAGGTCATAGAGAGCGCCACATCACTGTTTAAGGTAGCTCTACTGATAATTGTGAAGAAAACATATTAATGGATTAAAAATCAAAAAGAGGTAATTAAACCCTAAAATATTATAAAGACATTTATAAAATTTGGTTGAAGCTCAAAATCTATTAGTACCATATAAATTAGGATAGAGGAAATAACATATATTATTTGAAATAACATGAAACTAACTACAAATCACACAATAATTAGCAACTTCAAAATTTAAAGGACATACAAAAAATTTGATCAACTCTCAAAATTCTACTAATGTCACATAGTTTGGGATAGAAAAAGTATCATATACGTAAAATGTACTATAACTCATAATAATTAAATAACTTCAAAATCTAAAAGACATATACAAATTTTGCTTGACTTTCGAAATTCTATCAATGATACATAAATTGGGACAAAGAGAATATTGAAAATTACATATAAAGTATTATTAACCACAATAATCAACAACTTAAAATTTAAAGAACATACAAAAAAATTGTTTGACCGTTAAAATTTTATTAATGTCACATAAATTAAAATAAAAAATAAAAATATATGGTGGGCCCGTGCTTGCACGGGCTACTATAACTAGTCATATGATAAATGTGAATGCCAAATGAGGTGTTGCTTCATACAACAACAAATAAATTAGTAATAATCATATAAAAAATAAGGTATACAACACATAGGATAAAATAAGAGAAGGTAACATAAGATTGTTGGCTTGTAGGAACACAATAAGTACATGTGGTTGACACCCAATGACATTCTTTTTTTAAAATTTATTTTTTCGAGCTTCTAAATTTATAACGTGTCAAATTATCTTTTTGCACTACTATTTTTGCTACTATATTATTATTGTTATTATCCTTGTTGTCATATTTCTATAACAACTCATAAAATTACATGTTTTATTATTGAAATTACTATAATCTTTTTACGCCTCTTTTACTTAAACAATGAATTATCATTACCTTATTTCAAGTTGATTTATTAAATTAATTATTAGTCGATATTTTGTATCTATATTTTATAGAGCAACTTTCATATATAGCAAACACAAAATTCATATTTGTATGCTATAACAAAGTTTGCATAATTGCGCTCCATAGTAAACATAAATATGTATATTTCGCTATACATATACATATACATATACATATACAAAAGAAAGCAATTGTATAATCTGTTTTGGTATACATATACGAAAAAAATCAATTGTATAAAGTGAGAGAGGTGAGTGAGCGAGCGAGATCTGGGAGAGTGGCGAGAGAGATCTGGGAGAGGGGAACGAAAATATATGTATATATACAATTTTCACGCATTTTATACATTTGCGTTTTTGTATAAAGTGAGAGAGGTGAGTGAGAGAGCGAGATCTGGGAGAGTGGCGAACGAGATCTAGGAGAGGGGAACGAAAATATATGTATATATACAATTTTCTCTCGCTTTATACAAACACAAACACATTTTATACAATTTGCGTTTTCTATATAAAGTGAGAGAGGCGAGTGAGAGAGCGAGATCTGGGAGAGGGGAGAGAGGGGAGAGAGGGGAACGAAAATATATGTATATATACAATTTTCTCTCGCTTTGTACAAACACAAACGCACTTTATACACTTGTGTTTGTATAAAAAATGAGAGAGGCGAGGGAGAGAACGAGAGTGGCGAGCGAGATTCACAAGGAGAGAGGTGAAATAGCAATAGTTTGCTATGAGGTACAATTAAATCAAACTATATTTATAGCATTTAATTTGAATTAATAGTTTGCTATTATATACAATTTTCCCTATTTTATATTAGCGGAAAATTATAATGTTAGTATTTTATTTTGGTATAACATATCAATTTTCATAGCATTATGTATATTGTATTAGTTATTAAGTTAGAAACCCAAAATAATTTAAAGGAGAAATGGAAAAAGCCCAAGAAAAATCAGCCTAACCCTATCAGGTGAGCCCACAAAAATAAATTTTCAAGTACCCCTAAATCTATTTTCTTTTATATAGTCCGGCATCAAAAAGGGACACTTTTTGGACGCTACAGACCAAAACGGACCCTCCCTGACATTACTTGTTTCTAATTTATTCAATATAGTTTAAAGTCGATAGTTTCTTTTATATTGTAACTGGTAATCTGATGAAGGTTTCCACTTCTTCAACAACAATTGGTACCACTTAATGCACCAAACTTCAAAAGAAACTATCTGAAATCCCCTATCGTTTGCTACTTCCAAACCTGGTTATCATGAATTAGAGTGAAATCAGTTCTATTTTCAGACAATCCCAGCAATACGTAAGGGATAAAACACATACGAATGAGTGAAGCTAGAATCATATTCACAAGAATTCGCGTACTTAGTTAACTTTACTTCGAAAAAGCTCAATAAAAACACCCTTGAAATATGCTAAAAACAGGTAAATGAGTTTACATTGTATCTGAAACTAATAGTTAAGATTATATGGATTTTAGACGATGCAAGGCTGACTCAATGCCATTGAGAGCTGCATTTTCGCGCTGATCAATTTCCCTCAGTACATTCTTAGCTGCCTCGGCTTGATTACAAATTGTTTGCACCTCATGATTTGCAATCTCATACGCTACAACACATTTTTGTTCCTCGTATTTCAAAGCCCCTTCTTCCTGTTTTAGAACAGCCACGCATTCTTTCAGCTTACCAATCAGTTCCATCGCGTCTACTATCTGTCTTTCTAAACTTTCCTTCTTTTTCATAACCATCGCGATATGTCTTTGTGTTTGAAAGATCTCATCTTTAAGATCATTTGCACAAGTTATCGCGTTTTCATATCTAGTCTTCAGCTCTATAGGAAATGACTGCATTTCTCTCTGACTCTTAGCTGTGAGCAAATCATAATGATACGCGATGAAATCCCTAACATTGTTGTAGAAAGATGAATAATCTGCTTCAAGAAAATCCAAGTTGAAGAAGGCATTGTTCGCACACTTAATCATTGCTTCAATGTTTTTTGTGCTTCCAGAGGTGAGTTGGAACACCAAAACTGACTTGACATGAGAGATCATGGTCTTTGATTCTTCGTTGATGTGAGAAGATGAAAAATGACGTGGATTTGGTGGTGGACTCAGTAATGACAACGGATTCAGATTTATCTTTTCATCTTTCTGTTCTTCTTCATCTATGATTAGTAGAGGCGTATTTATGTTCGATACCAATGGAATTGTTGGCATTGCCATCGATGACGCTTCAAAATCAACAATATCATAAGATATAGTACTTTTTGAAACTTCACTTCAAAATCTAAAATATCAAAACTTTACTTTATGAGTTCAATTGAACCCGTACCAACATTGATACATCCGCCCCTTAGTATCAACCTTGAAATTGAAGGCTAGTTCACTTGGTGAACTCGTTATTTTCCCTTTTCCCTCCCTTCTCCTAATGATGAGGCAAAAGTGGGTAGTGGGGACGGGGTGGAGCTATAAGGTTGGGCAAAACTCTATAGTTTTTTGTGTTAAAATCTACTAAATATTTGATAAATAATTTAGGGATAAGATATAAGTATTCTCTAGATTATGATCGAAATTTCAGAGACACATCTTAACTAAATTAAGGTCCTATTAGCTTTTGATTCATTCTTTTTGTAATTTTATATATCTTTTTGACTTATATGTCATCCAAATATCTCTCACGCATCTCATCTGAGTTCAGGGATAATAAAACCTAACTATCCTAATTTAGGGATCCCAATAATTTATTTAGAATTCAGCAAACTGCTCTTTTTTTTTTCTTTCTAAAATCTAAAACTCATAAACGCGAAAAAAGCACAATTGAAGTTTACCTTCTGCTGGAACTGCTATCTGTTTCTGAGGGAGACCTTGTCCACCTCTTTCGAAATCATCCATGAATTTCTCACTCTGATGAGGATAAATTGTTGGAGTTTCAATGTTTCTAGGCACAAACTTGGTAGATCCAGGTGGTATTTCTGAAATATAATTTTTCTCTGTCATTGTTGGGATTGTTTTTCAACGAAAGATTTGTTGATTCGAGACACCAAATTAAGATAGGGATAATGATTTTTGGACTTCAAAGATGGAAAGAGCTAGCTGAAGAAAAAAATGCAGAGGAAATAGGGAAGGAAATCAATTAACTGTGGCCCACAGGGCGGCTCTGCCTTATAAAAGTTAAGGCATGTGTCTTAGGCCCCCAATTTTGGAAGGCCTCAAATTTTTACCAAGAACAAATTATGTGTTATTTTTTTATTAAAAAAATTAATTATTTATAATAAAAAGTATATATATATTTTTTATTATATTTCTTTTCTAACATTCACATTATTTATTTTTTTAAACTCATTTTTGCTTAAAGTTTGTCAACTTATTGCTTATAGAATTGTGCTAATAATTCATATAATGATTGCTTTGATAAAATAATATTTTTCAATGTTAATTGATAAAATTTTATCTAAAACTAATCATTTTAAATAAAAAGAAGTGCTCGAAAAAATCATTTATAAAAAAAATTAAGTAATAATCTGCATCTAAATAGTTATAAAAATAATTTTTAAAATAAATATATATGAAATTTGTTAGGCCTCAATTGAAATTTTGTTTTAGGCCCCCAATTACGTTGAGCCACCCTGACTGTGGGAGAAGGGAAAAACGAGGAGACAAAACCATGAAAAACTGCATATAATAAATTACTTCTCTCTGTCCATTTTTACTGGTTCGGTAGTAAAAAAGTAGTTTTTTTCAATAAAATTGATTTGATTTAGAAAATTGAGAGATAATTTATTTTTTTATTTTATTCTATTTCTGTTAAATACTATTCTATATCTAATACATTTCTCAAAATATTAAATTTAACATATTCAAAGAATAATGGAGTGATATTTAGATGAAGTAATAGCCTATTGGCCAAACTATCAAAATTTGCCAATTTTGATTTTTTCTTTTTTGAAAGAGTAGTAATTGATTTAAAATGCATTTATGATGACAACAGAGGAACAATTTGTGTTTGGTCAAAATTTCAAAAGTACTTCTCAAAAAAAGTTTACTCTCCTCGTGGTAATTTATGTAGAATTTTTAAGCTAATTGATTAATTTATGTAATATGTAAAAAAAAGTCTAATTAATTAATTTTTAAAGCTAAAATGAATTAGAGCAACTCAATATTTTAAAATAAAATTTTGATACTAAAAAATGATATATCCAGGGCCAATTTCTGGTTCTTCTTCTATCAAAATAAATCGAACTCGGAATATAAAAATTACTACTACAAATTACAAGGTCTTCTAATGTTAAAATAATAAAAGATATATTTTAAAATATTGGTCAAAATTTACACAGTTTGAATCTTGAAAGCTAAATATGTCAAATTAATTAAGACTGATGGACCACTTAATAATAATCTGAAAACAAAACAACTTTTTTTCTTCAAATGATACAAATGGAAAGTTCAGAATTTTCTTCTCTATTTATCTTTTTAGCCTTGTCAGGAATATATTCAATGCCTATGATAATAACAAGGGCTCAATTTTTCATATTTCCTCAAATGAATTTTTTTGTTGCAGAAATTAGTTGTAAAGTTCATTTGAACTGAAACTGGAAATAGTAACTAATCAATTTGCAAGTAGAAGAAAATATCTATCAAAAGATTTTCCAACAAAGAATCCTAAGCTGTGATCCATACTTTTTTGAGAAAAAAGAAAAAATATATCTTCGAACTATCGTAAATGGTATTCAGATACCCTCCGTCATACTTTTGGGATATTGGTGCCCCTGTCGTCCCAAAACTAGAGCATGTATGCCCTTTACTCTAACGGAAGACTAAATAAGGCGCAATCTTATCCGTCGATTCGATATTTAATAAATGTCGAATCTGTGGATAAGATTATGACGCGTATATATCCTTAGTATAAAGGGTATATATGTTCTAGTTTTTGGACGACATGGACACCAATGTCTCAAAAGTATAACAGAAAGTTTTTATATACCATTTACGATAGTTCGAGGGTATATTTGTCCTTTTTCCCTACTTTTTTTTGCCCACTTAACACACTAATTTCACGGGATACTTGTTGCCTCTCATCAACATAAGTAACACAAATTTCACGGGATACTTGTTTCCTCGCATCAGCATACTCATGAGCAATATATTTTCAACAATTATAATTTATCAACTCGAATAAATTTAAATTTAATTTTCACTGTTGAGCTAAGTTTCCATTCATTACTTTAATATAGTACTATGTTAGATTACTACTCCCTCCGTCTCATTTTATATGATGTACTTTGATTTGGCACAAACTTTAAGAAAAATGGAAAGACTCTACAATGTTCCAAAAATACCCTTATTAATAAGTCTAATTTGTTAAATAAAAAAAAATACTATATCTGACTTTGAATTGAAAAGTTTATGACTTTTCTCTCTCTCATAAGTGAATGTCACATCAGTCATTAATATAAATCCAAAATAGTCCAATTCAAGAAGGGTAAAATAGAGATAATGTCATTAAATATTTACCAAATAAGGAAATGTGTCATTCTTTTTGGGACTGACCAAAAAGGAAAGTGAGTCATATAAAATGGGACAGAGGGAGTAACTAACTATTTACTATATAATTTTCCAACCTCCTTACCCTTCAAACCTTGAGCACACGCACAAAATAAGCGTGTTATTAACCTGTTCAAACTTAAATGAGTTGGGCGGATCATGATTTTATGGGCTGATTTTGCCACCCTTGGGTGGAATCAATGCCATCCATGAAACTGTAGATAAAAAAGCACTCTGAAACCACAAGTTCTAAGGCTGAAAGCATGACAAGAAGCTTTAAGGAGAATCTACTGCATACCGATAACTAAACGAAGAAACAACCTGTCCCAAAACATGTCAAAATAGTCATGAGGACTTTCAGTTTATCTAGTAGGTGAGCTAGTTCAATAAGAGGATATAAAATCCAACTAACCGAGATCATCAACGATATGTAGACTCTAGGCGTTGAGTGGTGGATTCAATCCCTGCGAGAGCTGCATTCTTGCGTTGCTTAATCTCCCTTAGCTTTGCTTGAGCTACCTCCAACAGTGTGCCAAGTTCTTGTCTCTTGGCTTCTGCAACTTCTTGTGCTACTTTATATTTTATCATATCACGTTTCAGACGTTCATCTTCGTGTTCCATACGTTCTAGCTCTTGCTTCAGAACTTCAATGTGCCTCTTCAAAGATCCAATTTTCTCTTTGACCTTCTCATGTTCTCCATGAGTACGAACGATAACCTCATCAACATCATTTGCAGTACGCATAGCATTTAAATAATTTCCTCCCCACACCGAGAAGGACAACGAGGTTTCTTCTCTCTCTGCATCACGTAAATTGTAGCGATGTTCGATGTACTCTGTGACGTCTTTGTAAAAGGAGCCATAATCAACACCAAATCCTTTCAAATATGTAAAGGTAGTATTGGCCTGATGAACCATACAGTCAATGTCATCGTTCCCAGAAATAAGCAGCTTCTGCACCAATATATACTGAACTTTAAGAATTACTTTCTTCAATTCTTCATCAAGCATCTCGGGCGTACGATTTGTCCTTGGGGGTTTCTTCAGTCTTAATAAAGGATTTATCTTTAACTTTGTTTCTATTTGCTCATCCTCACTATTAAAGGGAACTTCCAAAGGACTATGACTGGTTGATCCCAATGGTAGCCCGGGAGGTGGGGTGACTGGCTCCGGAGCATTTGCAGTTGCAGAAACTTGTACTGGAACTTCTCTGGACGACCCCGATAGTGGTGTAGGAGGTGAAACTGCTGTAACAAATTGTGGCAGTCACATTAACAACATCAACAATTTAAAGTTAAAACTTACTGAGAAGTTTCATCATTATTACATAATTCTAATTCATGTTGGCAAAACGTAAAGACGCGGCCTTTTAACAGGAATATTCCTGAAAATGATTTTGGACTGAGAAGATGTTGAAAAAAGTTGATGGAAGACAAATGATAACAGAGGTGATCGGTTCTCCTTTCCGTGATTTCGATTGTGCAGAAACAAAAGAAATATTTAATAGCACCAATACGAACAAGTTCAGGTCCGCTATATGAACCCTCCTCGTTGATCATGTTTCTCCCTTTAAAAATTCATCAAATGCACTTTTATCATTTACGTTGGAATTTTAAACAATATGTGAACTACTTTAATAGTAACCTCTACATAGAAAAAAGGAAATGGAACCTTGAACCAAAACAGAATGTTACTTCACTAGATTAAAAATCATTAATCATGAAGCAAAAATAAGGAGTGGGGAAAGGAGGAGGCTTACCATCTGATATCTTTCTCCGAGGGCGACCTGAGCGACGCCGTGAAGGTTGTGAGGCTGGCATTTCTGTTGTTGCCATGGATGGAATCCAACATAACAACATGGAAATACATAGTTTGAGAAATTAGATTAAGTAAAGGAAAACGATATATGCTTAACGGTTGAAACTTAGCTAAAAGTAAATAGAGCTAACAGTGGAACATATTTTTGTGGTCTCAACTATATCATACTCTCTTATTTCCCTCTTTTCCTTTTTCACATCAAAGCTTTACAAATGGCAAACCGGAACGAAAATTCATTTACAACAACTACCCTCATTCCTAAACAACTTGGGGACGGCTAGTCGGCTATATGAACTTTCAATGATCATGAACCAAAACAGGATGTTAGTTTTCTAGATTTAAAATCATTAATCATGAAGCAAAAGTACGGAGCGGGAAAAGGAAGAGGCTCACCATCTGAATTCTGTTTCGGAGGGCGACCAGGTCTGCGTCGTGAAGGTTGTGAAGCTGTCACTTCAATATCAACATGGAAAGATTTAGTTTAAGAAATTGGAAGAAGTAAAGGAAAACGATACATGCTTAACTGTTAGAACTTACTGAAGCTTTAGCTTAAGAAGATGCAGGACGTTTTAAAAGTTAAAACTTCTTGAAAATTACTAAACCTTTAGTCAAAAACAGATGTAAGCTTTATGTTGCAACTTACTGAAAACTTACTAAATCTTACTGAAAACCAGCTCGATGCCTCGTTCCTTAAACAAGTTGGACACGACGATATGATCTCTCACGTATAACATTTCTCTTCGTTCTTCAAATTCTACCTAGTGTCTTAATCTCCTAAAATTCCCCCATTCATATAGGGTAGAAGGGTAGCAGGTAGTTTCCCGAGGGAGAGACAGGGAGCTAGCCTCCTTTTCTCATCTTCTTATTTAGTAGTCTTACCTAGTATTTGCATAGTATTCTTTTTATTCAATCGCACTACTACATGTTACTTCGATTGTTTTGTTGATCTTGCTATTGTATTGTTATTGTCTTTTCTATCTACTATCATGTTATGACTACACTTCTTTTGAGCAGATTGTCGAGGATCTATCGGAAATAACCTCACTATCCCACAAAGGAAGGGGTAAGATTTGTATACATTCTGCCCTCCTTTCTATCCCAATTTATGTGGTATCCTTCTGTTAGTCCCAAAAAGAATCACATTTTCTTATTTGACAACTATTTAGCAACACCATTTCCATTTGTCTCGCTTAACATTTTATTGTCAAGAAAAGTCGACTAAAATTTACTACTCCCTTTATCCCAATTTATGTGGCACTTTTCATTTTTAAGAGTCAAAAAGTTCCAATTTGACCAAGAATTTGCGGAATCTTCAAATCTTTTGAAATGAAATTTATATATTAGTAAATCAAGTAAAAAGTACTATTATTCACAATAAGTGACAATTCAAAATATTAAAAGATGCTCCCTTTGTCCATAATTAATTGTCTACTCTTGAATTGACACACCTATTAAGGATTAACATAATAAATTTACCATTTTACCCCTACCAATTATGAAGTAATGAATTAAAAAATTAAGATTTTCAATAAGTTTACCTTTTTCAAAATTAATTAATTTAGGGTATAATAAGTTCAAAAAAAATTGTCTTCTTGATTTGTCAAAATGAATAAGTTAAACATAGACTTGTTTGAATTTCAAAATCCAAAAATTGTCACAGAGCGAATACTAAAATAACTTTGATAAGGGCAATTTGGTAAATATAACAAAGTTTTTCTATTACTATTTCTTAAATTCCGTATCCAATCAAACAATGTCACGTAAATTGGGACGACGAAGAAACCTTAGAATCAAAATAGAATGCTTCTCATGTCCAACAAAATGCAACTACAGATAATTTAGTCAGACCCTAATATGGATACCAAACGCTAGACGGAAACCCAAATGTTGATAGAAAATCATAAAGCAAGAGTAGGTAGCTAGCTCACCATCAGATCTCTGTTTCCGAGGGCGACCCGGTGTACGTGGACGGGGCTGGAACTGGACAGGAATATAGAGATTTGGGGCAACTCTTTCTCTTAAACTGCACCTTTTACCAGAAAGTTCATTAACAGACCCAACTTTCCTCTTATCATCTTGCATGTAACTATCATCAATACTCATTCTTTTGCACAAAGTTTTTGTAAACCCAGGTGGAATTTCTATTGTTTTTGACATTGATTAGCTTCCTTCTGCTGCTTAAAAGGGGATCTTTAAATACATGAAAAATTAGCTCAATTTTTGAAGGGGAAGAGGTTCAAGAGAGATTAAAAATGGTGAGAAAATGGAGCTAATGATAAAAAAAAAGTTAAATGGTTTGGTTTGCAGAAACACAAAAAAAGAACAACAGTTGCAGTGGAGGAGTGTGGGAAAAAGAGCAGAAATATTAGTGCAACTTTCGAGATTTTTAAATCATATTTGATTGTTTATTTTTATTTGTTCACCGTATTAAAAATAAATGTTTATTTAAAAAAAAAAGAAGAGGTAATTTAATTTATTATTAATTATAGCTATTTTTAAAAATATTAATTTTATTATATTCAAAATGACATAGTAAAATTATCATGAATATGTCAAATCAAAATTTGACAAGTAAAAATGGCTTACTTCATATGATAAAAATTTGTAACATATTGGTGTGTTGATATTGTTCACTTCGAGCCTAGGTTCATAGGCTTTAAAATCATCGCTATGGTGTAAGTCGTGCATAGTTATATATCTAACATCTTTTGTGCTTTGTTGATTTGAGACTCTTATCGTAAACTAGAGTGTCACATACACTCCATTTTTATGGACTGAACGTCCTTGTTGATGTTTGTCTCATCATACAGAATTTGTCTAAACTCAACATTGTGATTTGCTCTATTTTTTCAAAATTTACTTAAGCTCAATTAAACTTTGATCCGCTATCAACAGAGCTGACACAAAACTAATTACTCAGGAAAAATGATAACTTTGAAGTACTACATCCAAAACTTGATAATTTCTTTTAGTACTCTCTAACAAGGGTTGCATTCAAGTTTATAACGAGTACATAAGAGAAATACATTGGACACCCTATCTTAAATAAGAGTTTGTATCAATAAAATATAGAAATTAAAAGGTTATGTTGACAATGAAAATTAATTAATTGGGAAAAAAAATAAAGGGAATAAAATTATTATTAGATAATTTAAACAAAAGGTTATTGATTTTTCAAATTCATAGATTTTTCATTTCTATCCACAAAAATCCATTGGAAAAAACAAACCTAGAAGTTTTTTTATTTATTTATTTGATTGCATGAAATTCAAGAATTCTAGGGAGTTCTTTATTCACTACCATCAAGTTTCTTTTTTTATGGGGAAGGAAGAAGAAAAATAGAAAGAAAATTTCAAAGAAATAGATAAAAGGGGAAAGAAGAAAAAATTTAAATAAAATTGATGAAAATAACAATAATATTGTGACTATAAAAGATTTTGAAATTTTGTGATCTTAACCGAGAGATATGAATGATATAATCAAATCACACCTCGAATCTCACGATTTTGATGGTGTCATTTATAAGGTAAGTATATAAAATGAAAAATACTATAATGAAAATTTTACTAACTATGAACACGACATTCTTTACCAACAACTTAAAAAAGAAAAAAAAGACACATAAATTAAACAAATGAATCATGATATTGATGATAACAATAACTATGCTTCAGTCCCAAACAAATTAAAATCGATTACATGTATTCCTACTATTCATATGTCTTCATAAACTCAAGAAACCACAGTTAACTTGCAGGTAGATGAAAATGTCACCAATACATCAGAAAATTGTCCAACAAAGACCCCCCAAGCTGTGGTCCATTCTTTTTTTAATATCGGGGCGAGCTTGCACATAGCTCGACTAATTCCACGAACTACCTGATACATTTCACCAGCATAGGTACTGGGTAACTCTGTCTACTAAGCACCACACAAACAAAACTGAAAGGCAAAATATAAAAGAGAGGTTCAAATTATTGAAAATTGGTACTACTTTGCTAGATCCCAAAACAAAAAACATGTTCAACTAGAGACTTACACACTAGTGTGCATTACCATCATTTCATGTTTCTCTTCTATCTTTCTTCTACATAAGACTGTAGCCGTCGCGTAGTTGATTCAATCCCTTGGAGAGCTTCATTCCTGCGCCGCTCAGCATCCATCTGCACTGCTCTAGCTTCATTGATTTGGGTACTGACTTTTTCAACCTCATCTTGTGCAATCCTATGGGCTGCTTTATGCTTTTGCTCGTCATCTTTCATGCACTTCTCATCTTGTTCAACAGCAGCAACCTGTTGTTCCAAGCTGGGAATCACTTGTTTCAATTGCTGAATCATTTCTCTTGCATCTTCTATTAGCTTCTTCGATTTTTCCTTCTTCTCCTTATCCTTCTCCTGTTTTGCTTGAGTATGTTCGATTTTCTTTTCAATATTATACGCACGAAGAACAGCATCTAAATGTTGTTTCTCCAATTCGGAAACAGAACACACATCTCCATCTCTCTCTGCAATGAACAAATCATATTTGTAAGAAATCATGTTCTTGACATCTTGGTAGAATGACCCATAATCATCACCGATCCAATTCAATGTGGAGAAAGCACCATTTGCAAAGTTAACCATGTCATCCACACTGGTGGTCGTACCAGAAGAGATACGAGACACCAATACAGACTGGACTTCATCAGTCAACACTCTTTTTGACTTTTCAGGCATTTGGTTTTGGGAAGAAGGTGTTTGTTTAGGTGTCTCCAGTCTTGATAAAGGATTCACCTTCAAATTTGTCTCTCTCTGATCATCCTCTTCATCACAAGGAATCAGCGAAGGCGTATTATTAATTGATCCCAATGGTTGCGCAGGAGGTGGGGGAACTAAATCTGAATTTGTGCTTATCGAAACTTGCTCAGGAATAATTTCGTTTGATCCTGTTGGTGGCACAGGAGGTGAGGGAACTAGCTCTGACTTTGTGCTCATCGAAACTTGCTCAGGAATATTTTTGTTTGATCCTGTTGGTGGCACATGAGGTGGGGGAACTAGCTCTGAATTTGTGCTCATCGAAACTTGCTCAGGAATGTTTTTGTTTGATCCTGTTGGAGGCACAAGAGGTGGGGGAACTAGCTCTGAATTTGTGCTCATTGAAACTTTCTCAGGAATAATTTGGTTTGATCCTACTGGCGGCACAGGAGGTGGGAGAACTACCTCTGGAGCATTTGTCGTCGCTGTCACATTAACAATGTCAACAGTTCAGTCTATTAAAAAAAACAACGAAACATAGCTGTTAACAGAACCTATTCAAGAATTTACTAAGAAAATGTAGTTTATATAGTACTTTTGAATGAAGAAACACATGATAGTATTGTAGAAGAACATAAAAAAATTGAGAATGCAGAAACTCAAATGCAGAAACACTGATTGTTGAAGATGAGTTGAGCTCAAAAAAATAAATAAGAGCTAAGAGTAAGTAAATGTTCTCTGTTTCCTCCGAGACGTTCTACAGGTTGAGGAATGGCATCACACAAAATGCGGCAGATATCGGGAAGCTCTATATCTTAAACTACATGGCCTTTTAACAGGAAATTCTAGATTGGAGTTTCTCTGCCATTATCAAAAGGGTGGGAAATGAAAATAGAGGTGGCTGGTTATCCTTTCAGCGGTTTTGGTTGTACAAAATAAATAATAAAAAATAGTGTTATAGCACCAGTACAATGAAACATATTGGAATTTTGTCATTTTATACATCAATAATAACAACGCTAATTCCTAAACAAGTTCGGATCGTCTATATGAGCCCTCATTGATCATATTTTATGTTTTAAAAATTTGTTCACCTTTATCATTTATATAGGAACTTAATAAATTAGTGAACTACTTTAATATGCCCCCAACAGAGAAAAAAATAGAATGTTCACGAGGCATAAGTACAGAGTGAGGAAAGGTGGAGGCTCACCATCTGATCTCTTTCTCTGGGGACGACCAGGACCACGCTGCAAAGGTTGTGAGGCTGAACTTTCTGTTGTTTTCATGGATGGCATTTCAACATCAAAGACATGGAAAGATTAGTTTAAGATATTGGAAGTAAGTAAAGGATAAAAATATAAGCTTAACAATTTAAACTTACTGAAGCTTTAGCTTAAGAATATTTATGTTTTAACTTTTTTTTAATAAGGTAAAGGTTTATTGACTAAGTACCAAGAAGGTACCAAAACCAAAAGTTACAAAAGACTGCTGGGAATATCCATACAGTCAATTACAACATTTCCCTAGTAGCTACAAAAACTCCATTTATTGATCTATATTATCAAGGAAACTACTTTTACACCACCAAAGCAAATTATGTAAACACTTGTTTTTAACTCTAGAAATATGGTCTTTTTGCCCATCAAAACAAGCTTTATTTCTTTCTAGCCAGATAGTCCAGAATATGCACAAAGGTATAGTTCTCCAGATTTGCTTCAAAGTTTTGTGTGTTCTCTGATGCTGCCAACTCTCCAATAATTCCTTCACACGCTGAGGCATGATCCAAGAGATCCCGCAAATACTGAAGAAAAATTCCCAACATTGTCTAGCTATTCTGCAATGCAAAAGAAGGTGATTCACAGTCTCCGAATCTTCTTCACATAAGTAACATCTATTACTTAGTGCAAAACCCTTTTTCTGAAGATTATCCTGTGCAAGGCAAGCTCCCCATGCTGTAATCCAACCAAAACAAGCTACCTTTATAGGTGCCTTAGTTCTCCAAATCCCTTTCCATGGCCAACTAGTATCCCAAAATCTCGTTTGCTTCATTAGAAGGCTATAACACTTTTTAATTGAGAAGGTTCCATCATTACTAGCTATCCATACTAGTGAATCCCCCTTGCTCTGATCAATGTGGGTATAATCCAGTTGAAGGAGCAATTGACAGAAGTCGTCAATTTCCCAATCATTCAAATTCCTTCTAAAATTCATCTGTCATCCCGTGTTGGAATAAAAATCAGCCACAACTCCATCTTTGTTATTGCAACAACTGAAAAAAAATAGGAAATATTTGTTTCAAGCACACATCACCCGTCCAAAATCTTATTTTTGCTTCATTCCCCACCTCCAATTTGGTGAATTGTTGAAACTCGACCCATAATTTACAAATCCCTTTCCATACTCCCCCTTTAGAGTATGAAATATTTGAAGGGGGATTCCAGCCTTGTCTGCTACC